CCCTTCTGTCAAATTTTAGAACCCATTCTGGCCCGCAAGTCAAAAAGTTTGCCCACCCCTGCTCTAGAGGCATTTCTACTGGATTCTGAGCTGTGTCAAGGTAGGGCCATTGTTTGGGATCTGTAGTGTCCCTAATCAGCTGCACACGATTTGTGAGAAAGACGTGAAGTCTTCGTACCTCGTTGGAATATATATCAGGACTAATTGGTAGTCAGTCCAAAAGAACTCCTCATCAAAGTTTATATCAAGTTCTGTTTTTATCATGACACTCATTTTAGCAGAGGTGACTGCAGCTAAGAGTTCTTGTCGCAGGATACTAGCTTAATCCATAACTATGCTACTGTGTAGTTTGTTGTTATTGCCTTTGGACCTAATATAATAGCAGATTTAGACTTGTATTCAACTTTATTTATCCCTTGGGATTACTCCTTTAGGGAAATACTCGTTCCAGTAGCTTATATAGAGTAGAAATTAAGATGCCATTAAAGATAAAAATACAAAAGACAATGTAAAAAGTGTGTATGCACTGAGCATGCTCCGTAGCCATTGTTACCGGCATCAGGGGAGTGATGCTGTTCCACTTTTATAATGTCCTTTAGTTCTGGTGGATGGTAAAATCAGGGTACTATAACCAATTTCAGCTTTTTCAAACCATTTTTCCAGTCTCCCATCTTGAGCGTAGGTTATCAAGAATGGAATCATCGCATTCTGTGCCTCTACAGCAGAGCTCTTTTAAGATACTTTTGCCACTTTAAGTGAAAGGAGCGACAAACCCTGTGGGTAATACAAAGAGATCACTGAGGGTATGGCCATTTAATTCGAAGCACATGACCTCCATATGAGGCATCAGGTTTTAAGTTAAGTGGCTGTTATGGTGGCTCTTTCCAAGGGTGCAAGATGAGGCAAAGCATCACTTTGGTTGGAATTAAACTGGAGACGTAAACCTGCAAGTTTGCAAAGGGCTTGTATTTCAGTGATGAGCTGTTGAGCCTTTTTGACGCATGACACAATCCTTGGGTATTCATATCTGTGCTGTTTTGCAAGACACTTATGGCCAAAATTAGCATATCCAGAGGACAATCCAGCACCAAACCGATGTACCGGGATTCTGTTGTCTTTCCGCTCTGCATCGTTATCGTCCTTCTGGCCATCCAGGACAATTAGTTTTAAAACTTGCTGTAGAGCTCCCGAGTTACCTTTGGATCTGTGCTGTCTCTCTAAATAATGTCCTCCTTGCCCTGTGTTGGCAGGTTTGTTCTGGTACCATGTCTTTCTGATGAAGGTGCTGCTGGAAAGCATAGAAGATTTAGACCTTTTTTGATACCCCACCCTGACTTGTACTTCTGTCAACACCACATAAATCAGATAACATGAGATGTCTTCTGACTCTTGTGATAAATCACTGAAATGAACACACCCATAACACATTCAGCCTAATGCTACTCTGCCTTCTAACACACTGAAGTTGAGTAATAGTATGTATGATGCTGATCGGGCTGTCAGGGACTTATTCCTGATGCAGACACTGAGGCAAAAGATAACTTTTTAACAAAAAATTTAAAAAAATTATCAAAAAATGTTTTCGTCAAAACCGGTGTGATATTTTTTCACAGGTGAATATCTTCAAAACAAACAAACATCCTGTATTCTGACTGAATGTGTTGCCTTGTCGCTAATGGTGACGCCCAAGTCCCTCCAGTGCATTTAGAAATGGAAGAATGCAAACAGACGTACTTAGCTCACTCTATGGTTTACATTCCAACATTTAAAAAATGTAAAACCGCCTGCACAGATTGGGGCAGAGCAGCAAACAAATGGCTCCTTTAATCCCTTCTGCTGGGAAGAAAGCTGTACCGATTTTTTTGCTGATATACCTTTAGGCCCTCTGTGGTTGAAGTGATTGATAATATCTGTGTTTGCTTTCAGCTACAGCGTCGTTGCTCCACAATGAGCAGTAGCGCCGGTGCTCCTGTTGGCAGACTGGGGCTCTATGAAATCAAGGGCCTCCTGTTCTCTTTCCTGCACATTGTCAAAACTTTGTCAGAGGGTCAGTCACAAACCTACACACACAACTCACAACAGAATATCCCTTAAGACATTAAAGACGCTCAAAGTGTGCTTATGAAAAAAATGCTCTCTTTCAGAAACTCTAACAGCCTACTGGAGCAAAATCAACCCTCAGGACATTATGAATTTCCTCAGCTTGCTCGAGTAAGTAGTATATGAACAGAACCTATTCTGCTTGTGGGGTTTTTATAAACCCTCCAAATGTTTTAGTGAAACTGGGAACCTGTTCTGTCATGCTTGATGTTAGTTAAAAGTATTTTACCTTCTGCTGGCAGGGAAAAACTTGTTCTCTGTTATGCAATTAAATGCCAACATAAACGTAAGAGGTCTCAAGGAATTTTCTGTTGTGTCTTCCCTGCAGGACTTGTATTATCCAACTTCGGTACATTGGCAAGAGAAACATAAGCAGGTAAGACAGCAATACCAGCGCTTCGCTTGGACCCAAGTACAGTCTTGTTAGATATCAGTGGCATATTTCAGACTCTCATCTGCCAAAACCAGTTTCTTAAAGGGATCATAGAATTATTTTATTGGGTATTTGGTGCTGGACTTAAAGGTCTCTGAATAGGATGTGTAACATTGGTTGGGCTGAAAATGGCATATTTGCTGTTCTGTGAGCCCTAATGCAAGCCTGGTTAAAAGCCCTAGAATGAAACGACAGGTTTTCCTCCTTTTATGGTATGCTCATGAATATTTAGATGAGCTGTACGCTGATTGGTTGGTTTACAACGAGCAAAGATGCATCATAGCAACAAGCACTCACTCACTGAAACATAGAAATTTTTGATATGGTAGGGTGACCAGACGTCCTCTTTTTCCCGGACATGTCCTACTTTTCATACCTGAAAAAAATATCCAGGGGAAATTCAAAATTGTCCCGGATTTTGGTTCACTCCGGCAGGCAGAAATAAATAACATGGAAGAAATAAATATGGTAAAAAATACAAAGAAAGAATAAACCAAAACAAAAATTTTATAACATGCACATAAATAAATACTTAAAAAATAAGTAATAAGTAATAAAGTTGAAGATTATAACGAACAATAAATAAATAAGATAATTATTACAAAGGCGAATAAAAAAAGAAGCTAATTAAAAGAGATATATACATTAATGTCTCACTGTATAATTTAATTTCTACCTACATTTATTTGTTTATTGTATTTTGGGGGGCAATTAATTGTATGCTTATTTATTTATTGAGCATTTATTTATTTCTGTATTTATTTTTAATTATGGCAGGATTGGTCCTCCATAAAAGTACAGGCCAGAACTAAATAAGGCAACATCCCTAAATTGACGTCAATTCGGGGCTTAGTTTGAATTCGCCCTTTTTATGGTGGAAGTTTAGAATTGTGAGATTTGCAGAGAAAGGAGGTGTCGAACGGGTTTGAACTTCTCAGTACGTCCATTTCCCACTGAACTATCGTTATTCATCTATGACGATGTAAACGTGGTCTTGCATTCTATGACCCCTTTAAATGGCCTTGACCTCGAGATAATTTTTTCAATAGGTTAGGTGTTAACTGCCAATAACCCAGACCATCTAATTTGAACCAAAAAGTTCTACCTGAATATTAAATAATGATTTTCTACGTAGCAAAAATCTGAAAATTTAAGTTTACCCTACACGTTAAAATCGTGTGTAAAGCATGCATTTTGGACATAAAGTGAAGAAAAAAAATCACATCTGAACATAACTTCTATTCAATTCAATTCAGTTTATTTATAAAGCGGCAGTTCAAAACACCTCATCTCAAGGCACTTTGCAGAGAGAATTTAATCAGATCATCTAGTCAGATTGGATAAAAGCTTTCTGTCTTAGGAAACCAGCTGATTGCATCTGCAGTCAGACTTTGCAGGATTCGCTCCTTCTGGATAAGAATGTGTTGACAGTAAATGTTGGCTTTTAATGTGTCGTTGACTCTACAGTAATCCCTCAAGCCCCTGTCACACATGACGATTTAGAGCAGCGTATGCCTGACGTACGAAAAATCTGGCATATGTTGGATAAGTTATGGGTACATTTTGTATAAGTTACGAGCACGCTAAAACACGCTAAAACACATCGACATACGGCAAGTACCTTGAGAAATCTTGAGCATGCTCAAAATTTCTCGACGTACGCCAGCTTATGTTCATACACAGGGCATAAGTTACAGGTATGTTATATAATCTTTGACATACGTTAACTGTAAGTTACTCATAAGTCCTGGTGTCTAGCTTATCCAAAACCTATGAGTATCGTGTGCATAACCTATGCCTAACTTAACAAGATCTCCAATGTATATCAATGTATTTGACGTGTTTCAGACGACAGCTGAACGTGTTTCTTCTGTATAATGCCGCATTGGCAGCGTTTTGGTTTAATAGTCGGTTCACAGGAGGAAACCGTCTTTTCGCCTCCAGACTTCCTCCCCATCGTAGGGTGAGTGTGAAGGTGACTGTGATGGTTCCTCCTTTTTCTTTTTATTTATTAATTAATAAAATTTTTTTTTCTTTTTTCGGGCAGGCGGCAAACAGCAGTTAGGTTAATACTGAAATCAAAGATATCTTTTTATCCAGACCGGGCGCCTCTGGGCGTCACGTATTGCGAGATTTTAGGGAACAACCGCCACTGAACTCTGATTCTACTGCGTGGATGGTTCATGTTGTGCCGATCAGTCTGCTGATACCAAGTGATCACTCAGTTTGTTCTTCTAACGTCGCCTGGCTGCGGTCTGACTTTCCTTCCCCCCGTAGTGAGTTCTTCACCCTTTAGGTGTTCAGCCCGCTTCCCTTAGCAGGCCTGGAAAACAGCAGATAGCCGGCTCACAGGCACACCCACAACTCCACAGGTGGCCATCATCAAATTAATTGTCCTTAAAGTCCACAGTGGATTAAAATCAATAAAATAGCAAAAACATACAATAAAACGAAAAAGAAATCATGCATAATCCAAAGTATTTACACATTCACACGTTCAGAGTAAAACCAATTTCCACTGTGTGACACATGCGCTCACAAGCGTTCAATAGGGGATCCCTCTCAGGAGTGGATGCACCAGCATTTTATTTTAAAAGCGGATTTCTTTTCAAAAAATTTACGAAAACCCTTCACTATATCTTTAAGTTAATTTGGGTGTTAAAATTAATAATCAAATGGCTTTAAAAAGGAAAATCTAAAGATGCACAGACCTTTATCCTTGTTTTGTTGTTCATAAAGTTTGATATTTTTTACATCATGTTTCTGTTCTCCTTAATAATGTGATATTGTTAATAAAAAAGAAAAATTGTCTTAGCATGTCTGCTTTAAAAGAATAAAAATAAGTCCATCAACTAAAAAAATGAATGTGGATCCTGTGTGTTCATTCCAGGAACCAGGACATATGTGTGTCAAAGCTCTTCTCTTCGGACAGGAAGTCTCAGACGATGCCAGCCATGCGTTATAACCGTGCTAGCCTGATGCAGAACAAGATTCACCAGTTCAGCACCATGGACACCTCTCTCACCCTCAACATAGGTAACCTAATCTCCCTGTTTAGGTTATTATGTTTGCACTCTTACCAGTTTATAAGGAAGGAACTCCTCTTAACACCCACCTAATTTGAAGTAATCCTCGCCTATTTTGCATGCCCAAATGGAAAAGCAAATAACTGCGGCACTGTACGCCCAAATTACATATGTGATACATCATTTGACAGCTAACACTTTCTAGTTTCTGAAAATATAAATGAAAACAGTGTGAATAAGACGAAGCCTGAACTGCATCAGTTCAAACATGACTCAAAGTTGTTTTTTTTTCTTCTCAGAAATAATGGGTATTATTTGAACAGCACTAACAAAGACATGCTTAAGAATAGGCATGTGTCATTGTATTACATTTGTTCTGCATCGCATCAACCAAAATTTCAGAACATTTCAGACCTCTAGCTATAATAGTTCCAGAGCTGTGGGGCTTTGAACTTTTGGTGTCACCAGCATCTCCAAATGTACCAAATCATGTCAAATGCTTTTACTCAACTATTTGACCCGTAAAATATCACTGAAACATTTTGATGGCATTTCTAAGTATTTTTCCACTTTTTTTTTCATTTTCATCTGATGATTGACTGGTGAGGTCACCACCCATGTCAATAATGACCGTATGGTTTCCTGATTCATCTTTTTTTCAGATATATTTTAGAACATATAATGGGAAAAAAATAAAGACAAACTAATTTGAATTAAATTAAAGTTAAACATTTTATTCTAATGCACAAATTTGGAAAGAGCACAAATAATAATAAAAAAAATAAGTAAACAAATCTAAACAAATATATAAGACTATATATATATTTAGTTAGGTGCATAAATATATATATATATATATATATATATATATATATATATATATATATATATATATATATATATATATATATATCTCCAAGTCTGGTCACTTAAACGACCACCTTAAATTGCCAAATCAGATCACCTAAATCTACAGTAAGGGATAAAATGGGATTTTGAGTGGATGTTATTTAACAATGTTTTTATTTATACACTGATTAGGTTAATTAAGGATTGATTCTAAATGAGCACAAATTAATTGTAATTAAATGATTCTTTCAGGGCAACTTTCATTCCATATATTCCAAGATTTCTTGTCAGTATATATAATAATAATTTCCTAAACGGCATGCCATATATATGTATGTATATGTGTATACACATATATGTATATGTGTGTGTATATATATGTATGTATGTTCTTCACTAAGAACTTTTATTATTCGCTTGCAAGTTGACAGTCGATTAGGATCTTAATGTCTGGACTGGTTTGCGTAAAGCTCTGAAGTTTATTCCAAACCAATATCTCAGAGTTT